GCATCATTCTATGGGAAGCATGTACTCGCCTGACGCACTTCGGAGACGCGCAAGGCGCGCCACCATGACACGTCGACCGTATAGCACGCATGGTCACTGCTCGCATGCGTGCACCAAACTGGGAGCCTCCAATATTGGAGAGTAGGACCTAGACACAATCCGATAAAACGGTACACTTGGATATCGAGGAGCGAAACGGATATGGCCTGCGCTCCCAGCTATGGATCATCTAATCATTCTCTTGCTGCTTCGAGTACGCGATCGCCTGGGCTCCTAGGTGAGAATGCTTAAGGAATAAACTCTGGATAAAGTCCTGAACAGAGGATGCACTAAAAGGAGACTAGCTTAGGGTTCTACGTATCTAACATCGGGGGAGGTCCGACAACACACAGAGCCTGGCAATACCTGATATTCTCACGGGAAGGCTCGTCTCGATGGCCGCTCCAACACAGTCGACGCTGGGTTGAGACGTTGGTCGTTGACAGGCGAACCAAGCGGCTGCGCACCGATTCCCAGGGTCAGCGAGAAATCCCAGGGGCCAGTGTCGTGGTAATGAACGAAGCAGAGACATTCATATGTCAAAAAGATTGGGATGGCAATTATCAACACATTGCAAGCCCGAATACTGGGAGATTTGAGAAGCGATCCTTGCAGGAGAATTCTCGGATTGCTTCAATGGCACCCTGGCGGACCTTGTTGGTATCCTCATCGATGTAACCCTCTGGCATAGGTGCCCCTGTGTTCTCAGGTTCGATCCCGGCATACAACATTTTTCTGTAAATTTCGATGTGGTGCTCCTCGACAGGCATTTGCCGTGGTGGGGGGGAATGTCCACTGATGGTCAATTACGATTCCTGGGAGGAATTGAGGGAAGCTCTCATTAGCTTCTCTGAACTTCTACCCGAATTCGTGAGTGAACTTCTATTATTAGTGAGGAATCTGCTGAGCTCAGCTGAGGAAAGCGAACACATATTCCAACATTGGTCATGTGGGAGCTGGAGGCTGTATCAAGGGTATGTCGGCTAGTAGATGTCGTCTTACGAACCTATCAGGGCGAACTCGGGATGGGAGCTTTTGGTAGACTTAGACACATGGTAGGCTAGTTGAGGGCTTCTGGAAGGTGTATGGGACAGTGAGATGAGTCGAATTAGGCAGGGATAGGGGGGGTTATCTGTAATGAGTCGTGATCGGCGCTCCTCGTCGGATCGTCATCACCATTCTCGGTTGCCACGCCGCCCGTTCAAGGCGCTGGCTGCGTACAAAAATGAGTTTTTTTACGAGCTCAGAATAGAGAAGAGAATGAAGGTCGTCGAGGTGGTAAATATTGGCGGCCGACCAGGGACATGCTAGCTCCAACCTTGCACACTCAGGGCATAGTCTTTGCTTCAGAGGGTGAGGTGTTCGCCCAGATGTGTGGAGTTTGTAGTTTTCGTGTTAAGCGTTGTTATTCTTGTTTACAACGCTGTTGTAGTGCCCTCGGCTTATCGACTCGTTTGCTATGGTGGAGTTTGATGCCCCATTCTCCTCATGTTAGATCGAAAGGTACCTGATGGATGTTGTTGCTTCTTGCGACCTATGAGTAGGGTATTACCACTCCTTTTCCAGTTCAAATGCACGCCATTCCCGTCCTAGGCATGTCATCGCAATAGCTCCTAGCGGCAAGACTTTGGCCTACCTCCTCCCTATGGTCCATCAATGCTCGACCGTCATGTCAAGGTGGTGGTGCTACACTCAGTGAGGATTCTGGTTGATCGATTTTGTTTTGTTCTCATCCTCCATTGTTATTCAACGAGGGTCGTTGTGGGCGCCATAGGGTTAGCGATAGCATCGACGCCAGAGCTGGCTTTGCAGATCAATGAACGGGCAGAAGCAATGTGCCATACTGTTAATTTGGAATATTACTTATTGGGATAGTTATTGTAGTCGTGAAAGTTGCATAAACTTGTCAGGTGCTTACGGTGGTGGGAGTATGGGTTCTCAGCTGAGCAAGCTGGAAGTTGGTTGTCATATTCTAATGACCACTCCTGGGAGGCTGATTGATACAGTATTCGATGTCGGAGGAGCGTGAGGAGTGTCTTTGACGGGTTGTAACGCTTAGTAATGGGAAATTGACGAATTTGCGAAGGGTTAGTATGGCGACTCTGGATTACGTCGATTAGATGTTCGATATGGGATCCGAACCCTCAGAGGTCCGTGATTTTTGAACTGCCTGCTCTCCATACTACGGGATATCGTAGTAGGGATACTACGCGGTATCTTCTCACGGGATATCGTACCTGTCAATGACAGATGCTGAAAAATATGAATTCGGCAAGGCAGACGTGTATGTTTTCAGCAACATTCCCACCGCACGTGGAAGTTTTGGCCGGCAGAGTCTGTACAAGCACGTAGAGGTACTCAGCGGTGACTCTGGGTCGGTTTTCACGAACCTAGGGAGCCAAGGGTGGCTCAATGCTTTGGGAGATACTATCCGCAACAACAGCAGTCTCCTACATAGTCCTTCGGACAGTGTCAAGGGTAGCAATGCTATATGGTAATGTATTCAGACAACTCAGAGTTTTGACCTAGAACTTATTCCAGCCGCGTAATTCGTGGAAAACTAGTGTGGATAGTAGTGATGATGGCCGTACTATCGCCACTAATTCTTTAGCTCCTATTGGACTGGGGTGAAATCCTGTAGAACATGCTCGGGACTTCAGCACATATAGAGTGGCAAGACTTGGTGGGAGACAGAGAGCTTGGTGAACTGTGTAGTTGCAGTTTTTATGAGCATTGTATCATAGTTAAATGGCTTATAGTAGTAATCGTCATACTGACCAACAGCAGAGGTCGGCACCAAAGGTTGTCAGTGGCAGTGTTAGGCCTCCGATTAGGCTACTCTTGTTTGATCTAGATGATACCTTGTGGGATCTAGATAAGACGTTGGATGTGGCCGAGAGGAAATGGCAGTCTTTGATGCGTCGATGGGGTTTGGATGATATTGCGGATTCTTATAATAACTATCATGTAAGCTAGGATGTAGTAACATGCATGTGGGAGTTGTTGTTGGTGTGGTATGCAGGATTTGATGGTACTGATTGAGGCTAAGCGGAACGAGTGGAGTGTTGACTATTGGGAGCGCCGCAGGCCTTACTGGAACTACTGTGAACTAAGAAAGGTAAGAAGCGATACTATTGTCATGTCCTCATGTTATTATCAGTCTGTGTACATGGACATCATTAAGAAGTATCTCATCCGGAAAGGGGAGAGTGCGAATGATAAGGATATTGCATCCGTGGCCAAAACTCTAAGTGACGAATCTTTCGATGTGAGCAGTAGCCGCCTTGAAGTAGTGCTCCACGAATCA